GGTTGTAGAAATCATTAAAATGCTATATATAAAAATGTTTATATAGAAATTTTAGTTACTCTCTTATGTATAATTTAATTTCTGAACTTTATTACTTGTGTTCAAGTATGGTTTAAAAGTATTACATTGAAAATCCCAGAGGTAAACAATTTGTGACTTTTGTATACCATTCTGAGTAGCAGATGCAGGGAGGCAACCAGCATGAAAAAGCCCTAAGACCAGTTAAACAAAAGGGAAAAAAATAAAGGAATCAGATCCATAAAATTAAAGTGACAAGATTTGATAAATACTTTGTAGTAATAACTCTCAATGTTCATACTATTCACAAAGGGATTTAATAGATATCTACAGAGTATTTCCACCTACAAGAGTCTGCCTGTATATTTTCCTCAACAGCATGTGGAACTTTTCCCGAAATACACCACTGTGTATTTTAGACCATGAAGCATGCTAAAATAAACACAAAAGAACTGAAATAAACCTCTACATGCCATCAGGTCATAGAGAAATAAAGTTAGAAATAAACAGCAAAAAAAGCCACAAAAATACATAGATTAAATAATACATTATTGAATAATCAGTGGATCACAAAAGAAATTAGGGAAGAAATAAAAGTTTCTAGAATCAAATTAAAATGGAAGCACAGCATACCAAAACCTGTGTGACACAATGAAAGCATTTCTGAGAGAACAGTTTATAGCTGTAAATGTACATAAAAAAAAGAAGAGAAGGATACCAAATAAATAAGCTAAAGATGTATCTCAAGGTCCTAGAAAACAATAACAATCCAAATGTGAAACTAACAGAAGGGAAAGAAATTATGAAGATCAGAGCAAAAAGTAATGAAATTGGAGACAAACAAACCAAAAAACAGCCAAAAACAAAATATTAATGAATCAAAGGATATGTTCCTTATGTAAGATAACTTTCTCTCTGCAGCATTTTTATAGAAAAATTTTCCTCTGTGGGCTCAATTTGGGACTTTTAGTTGTTGGAAATGGGAGAAAGGCTGACTAAAAATTTTTTTCTGGGTCTCTTTTTTTATTTTATTTCTAATTCAGAACTTTATTTGAAGTTCTAAATTTATATGCCTTTTGGCATATAAATTTTTTTTTTTTTGTCTTTTTCGTTTTTATAGGTACCGGGGGATCGAACTCACGATTACCTGCTTGCAAGGCAGGCGCTTATGCCGCTGAGCTAAATCCCCAGGCCCCGGCATATAAATTTTTTGCTCTGGCATATGCCTATATGTACTAGGCCCTCATTCAGAGATGCATTGCTTTGTACTGTCTGTCTCCCTGGAAGTAAGATCTCTTAGAGAAACTTGTGGGCTACTAGAATAGGTTGTTTCCATGGTACTTGTACCAGGATATGATATCCATTACATTTTAATATTAGATGCTGTTTTCTATAATAGATACTGAGCTTTGGAGTGGACAGATGCTAAGCTGAATCCTCAAGACCTAGACTACATAGGAACTCGTTAATATTAGGTGAATGAGGGGGCTGGGGATTTAGCTCAGCGGCATAAGTGCCTGCCTTGCAAGCAGGCAGTCGTGAGTTCGATCCCCGGTACCGATAAAAAGGAAAAAGACAAAGAAAAAAAAAAATAGGTGAATGAAAAAAAAAGTATTAGGTGAATGAGTGATTACATTGTGCTGGGGCATTCAAGAAGAAAGTCAATTCCTGTTTCCTTGACTGATGTATTGTTGTATTTAATATTGTTATTCTTCTAAAGAGTCTCTTTAGTTCCTTGTTTATCTTGCAGAACATTTTAACACCCAGGTTACTTACCTTTCAGATTTTATTGGAAGGAACTTGGGAAGGGGGTTGGTGGGGAATATAAGGAATACAATTTGGAGACAAATGGGAAGGAGGGAGCTTGGAAAGCATGAACAGGCTGGAGAGTACTGCAGCTCCTGCTGTTGCCCTGGCTGCTGATGTGATCACAGGCTCTTTTGCCTTGGCCTCGCAGGATCTGATGATTGATATGGGAGCGTCTGATTGCTAAGTCTAGATCTTTTGCCCTCAGGCTGGCCACTGGTGGGCTCGGGGAGTGGCAGGACCCTTTTGTCTTGTAAGCTTCTGAAGTGAAAAGGAAGAGCTCTGTGTCCTTTCAGAATTTTCACAGACGAGAATTCCACAATACTTGCAAGTACATTTGGAAGCAGCTTAAGAAGTACAGCAAAAGTTTCAATTATTCATCAGAAGTTTCTTTTCATTCTTATGATCTGAAAGTCCTGAGTTTGTATGTCAGAAAGGACCTGACCATTGTGTGAGGGGTATCATGGTTAGAAGAGCATGGGTGTTGGAAATGGAGAGGGCTGTAGTCAAAGTTTGGCCAGACTTACTCGGGGGTGATTTTTGGAAAATTACTAAACCTTCCTAAATGACAGTTTAATAGCTGTCACTGCTTTGTCTTTCTCCTCCTCCTTCTCTCTTTTTCTCTTGTGATAGCTCGAACCCCGGTATAAAATCCAAGGAAGCAAGAGACTGAAATTTGGGGAGCAAAGGCTTTATTTAGGCCAGGCCTGGCGATGAGTCTCCGGGAGCCAATTTGGAGACTGTGTGCCAGAGACTGAAGGAAGGGGATTTAAAAAGCAGGAGAGGGGGGAGGAAAAACAAAGTAACCCACAGAGCTGTCAAGCTGTTGACTCAAGTCTGGAAACTGTAAAGCTGTCCACTTAGTTCTGACAACTTCGGGAGCCTTTGGCACCTTTTGAGTTACTCCCGTCCTGCAGATAAGCATTATCTTGGAATAGCACATCTGCAATAACATTTGGAGAAGAAAGTAGAAAGTTAATTATCTCAGGACAGCTCGTTAACACATGTGGGAAGGGGTGAAAGTTACAAGAAGCTGAAACTTAAGTTTTTACAAGGATTTGGAACTTAACCCTTTTGGTGCATTAGGGTTAAGCCACAACATTTTTGTAATTTATTTGAAGTTGAGCATTTCTTAAGAACAGCGCAATTAGCACATTTTATGACCGACTACCACCAGGTAGGGAAAGGGGGAAGGCAGTGCGCATTACAGAACAGAAAATATGGCGAGATTACATTCCTTGGGGAGAGCGAGGTCAGGTAAGGGTTGTGCTAACAAGCAAGTCTCCCTACATACAAGCAAATTACTTCAAACAAGTTTAAATCAGGGAAACATCCAGGTTTTCCTCAGCAGAGAATAGACAAGTTTAACAGTGATTAACAACCCCTGTGAGCTTGTTTTAGCACCACACCTGTTGTTTGTAGAGGGCAACACTGGTTAACATATCAATTAGGTGAGACTTTGCAATTCTTTACAGAGGAGAGCATTGCTTAACATATCAATTAGGTCGCCCGCCCCGAGGGAAAAGGAAAACACATACTGTAAGCCTCGTTACAGGTTTTGCTATAACACACATACAATGAAGCTATTTTCCTTAGAGTACAACGCTCTCTCTTTTTTGTTGTTGTTGTTGAGGAGGTACCAGGATTTGAACCCAGGGCTTCGTTCATCCTAAGTACATGCTGTTCCAGTGAGCTATACTCCACTCTGTCCTAGATTTGGATATGGATATTAAAAACAAACGTGGCAGGGCATCTCACTTTTTAGGTAAGATGATGTATATTAAGTACTTGTACTGTGTACATGTAGTACACATTTGATGATAGTAGTCAATAAAACATGCTTTGTCCTAACGGCTCCAGTTTACCTTCTTACCCTTTTCTCATTTTCTTCCAATATAAAGCTTGCTATCAATCCAGACTATTTATGCTCATCATCCTTAAATGTGCCTTATGTTTTATACCTTATTTCTTCTCTAATGGCCCCTCTTTTCTTCATCCTTCTTTTGTGGATCTGTTCATATCCTTCTTTTCAGTAAAAATTGCTTGTCATACTAATAATCTGTCTCTGCAGTAAAGTGCAGTTGAGTTCTGACTACCCTGAGTTAGCAGTTTAAAAGTGTGGTCCTCAAGTCTGCCCAGAGGTTAGCCTTAGATGCAGTCGGGGCCCTCCACACTTCTTGTCAGCTGGTTCCAAATGACTCTGAGCCCAGGGGTTTCCAAGATGTCCTGTCCCCTCCTCCTGCAGGACTACCCTCACTTCGCATAGATGGAGAAAAGAGGGACCCACAAGATACTCACAGGGTGATCTGGGGGCTTCCCCGTCCACTCCCTGTGTTCCCAGGTCACATTCCCTCCCAGCACATCGTGAGTTTGCCCAGCAGAGAGCTACCCACAATTCAGTGTCCAGACTGAAGTGCAGGACCTCAGGATTGGGTAAGATTGATTGACATCCCCTCCCCAGAGGCTGGGCCACACCTTCAGTATTTTAGTGAGCACCCCCCATCCTTAGCTATTTTGTTAGCATAAACTCAAGGATGTGAATCAAGGGGGCTTATGAGTAACAGAGAAGATCTGGTCACTGGGAAATGACGGGTGAAGCTCCCTGACAGGATCCCAGGACAGAGAGAAGACAGGTTCAATACTAGGGTTTGGAAAAATAGTAAATCTTGAAAACCTAATTGTTTTTACATTTGAAAGTGTACAGAAAGCTGAGATATCTGGAAGTGTTAAAGGTCCTAAGATTTAAGAGGAAAAGCTGACTTTTTGATCTCTACTAATCAGAATTATAGTTGTTTAGATTTAACAGCTATTTAATGTGAATATATCATACAGTTTGAATTTTGTGTTTGTGATTTTATTTATTTCTTTGGTATAAAAGGGAGAGGACTTTGGAAAGATTAGCCGATAAAACAGCAAGCAGGCAGGCGTGAATTCGATCCCTGGTACCGATAAAAAAGAAAAAGGAAAAAGACAAAAAAAAAAAAAACAGCAGAGGACACTTCTCAGTGTTTAATATCTCACACTGCCAAAATAAACAGATGGCCTTAAGAACAATTTTGCCTGGGCTAAAGGTTGCCTTGCTGTAGCTATTTTGTCTCTTAATAGCAAGTTATTTCAGATTGTCTTTGGTATCTACTTTCTCCAAGAAAATGCTTAGTTGTCTTTTTCTCTTACAGATTGATTACACTGGAACAGAGCCTTCCAGTCCCTGCAATAAGTGCTTGTCCTCGAATGTGACACCTTGCGTTTGCACCATTAACTTCACTCTGGAAAAGGCATTTGAGGTCTGTGTTTCCAAGTAAGGTGTTACAAGAGCCATGCTTTACAAAGTGGTAATATTGTTCTATTTTTGAAAAAAAAAAGTCTTATATACTTGGCCTTTGCATTTTTTGTGTCTGATAATTTTTGTGTGTGTGTGTGTCCATTAATTAAACACATTTATTTGAATGGTTTACTTAGTACTTTGTAGACAATATTTAAGGTGAAATTTTATCCTTTTACCAGTAAATTTTATAATTGCGTAAATCAATTTTGTGTCATTTATGGTTCCATTTACTAGTATTTTAAAATTATTGCTAAATTGTTTTGCATACTTTCAATTGTAAAATTATAAAGCATTTTACTTCCGAAAATAAATACTAATTCTTCCATTATTTAATTGAATTATTTTTTGGGTGAGATATGAAACCTTACAAAAATGGAACCACTAAAACTTGCTAAATTTTTTTTTGTATTTTGATAATTCTGTATCTACATTCTGCCATTCTTAGTAACTGAGCAGATGCTGAAGGATTACAAAGATTCAGAATAGGTATAGAAAGACCAGTTTGTACGGTCCTGTATCTGCAATCTAAGCAGGAAACAGAACTGCTTTAATAGATTTTCTGTATTTCAGATATTTTAAAGGCAGTGGTAATTTATCAGTTCCTGAGAGATGATTGCCATGCAGTGGTTATAACTACTCTTGCGTCAAGATAAAGAATTGCTGCCTTTGGAAAAAAACATGAACTAATTTGGGAGAAAACAGTTTTGCTTTTGAAGCAGTGAGGCTTGGAATGATTTCAAAGATCTGTCCGTTAGTCTCCTCTCCCATTCAAAAACACTTCAGAGCTTTTCTCTGCAAATGTAATCAACTTCAGATTCACTGTTTTGTAGTGTGCCTTGCTCTTGATTATTATACGACTCATTATTAAGATATTTTATTAACAGTTAATTAATTGCTAGTAATATATAGTATCCTACTGACAAATTGTATATCCTTATTAAGTCAGTATTTACTTGGACAGTTTGGTTATTACCTCTCTGAAAAGTTGATATTAATTGGATAAACATAAATCTGCATCAGAGAAAATTTTAGATTGGAAATAGCTCAGAGTAGTCTAATAGACTTATTTTAACGTTAATAGTACTTTTTAAAATCTCGCTTACAGTTGTACCATTTGTACAATGCTGAGTACTTACAAAAATCTGTTATCAGTTATAAACCAGTTAAGCCCACATTATTTTGCTTTTATGTATATGTGAAACAAGGTAATTCATAAAATTGTTTTTATATGAAAAAATTTTCCCTTTCTGCTTTTTCTAGGGTAATGTGTTCATGTATTATGGCTTGTCTAATTTCTATCAAAATCATCGACGTTACGTGAAATCTCGAGATGATAGTCAGCTAAATGGAGATCCTAGAGCTTTAGTTGTAAGTAAAATGAAAAAATTATGAAAATGATGTCTGTGAAATAAGAATACATGGTAACCATTGGATTAGAAATATTGAAATATTTAATAATATTTAGTAATTATTTGTTATTTGTACTTAGTATAGTGAGAGATTTGAGTTAAAATTCTTTTTCTGAAAATTTGCACAGGTTAATTATTTTCTACAGCCAGGAGATACCTTTGCAGCTGTTTGCTTCCAGTCATTTTTGGGATTTGGGTTTTACTCACCTGCTCGTAATGGTGTTTTGGATCTAGCATTCTGAATGTGTAAATATATTCTGTTTGAGATTGTTCCTTAGTGTCACACTTGGTAAAAATATGCAAATAAGCTGCTTTTCATTTCTGGAGTTGTATTTTAAAATTGAATGGGATTCTCTTCACTTTCATTTGCGAAATGCCTGAGTAGTAAAATCCAAAAGATGAGTTATTGACAAACTCTGTGCTGCTGTTTTGAAAATAGAGATTCCAGAAAGTCTGATGTGTCAGTGCTGCAGGGGTTGAGTCTCAAATGCCTTTTTGTTTTGTTTTCCCCACTATACTATAGGGTTAGTAGAGCAGGGAGCATGACTTTCTTTAATCACCAAATGGCAGTTGTCTAGCTAGTGTTTAGCATATTAAAAGTACTTAATAATACTTGCTGAATAACTTGACATCTTTATTATGGCTGTTATTTGGGTTATAGTTCGTGTATAGATTTGTTTCCTCTGCTGCATTTAGAGTTGCTTAAAAGTGGGGATTATTTTTGCTTGTATTTTTATGCAGAGATAGCTAGTGTGCTATCTGATGTATATCAGGTACTCATTATCCACCTTCCTAAGCCAGTAAATGCAAAATTGGTTAGTATGAGACACATATGTAATAAATAATACTTCCCTGTCTTTTAAAATTTGCCTAAGAATTTAGTGGCAACAATATACTTATCCTGCTGGAGTTTATTTATATTTAATAACCTTTTTAAAAAATCATAGTGTCTGTCAAAACATTTAGAAAGTAATAAACCAGTTATAAATATACTGACCGTCTTCTTGGTCTTGGAGTACTAATTTTATCATTATAACTGACTTAGGGACCAGAAAACTGAGAAATCAGATATTGAAGATGAGATCCCTTTTGTACGTGTCCTTCTCTTTCTCTTGTCTTTCCCACTTACATAGTGTTTTTTGCAGTTTAGCTACAGAGAATACAGATAAAAGTCAAGTTTGACTGGTACTAAGATCTAGTTAGCTTCAAATCGAGATTATCTTGGTCCCTTACATTTCTTAAGGCGTGGAACTACTCAGGTCTGTGCCAAAGCTCAGACAGCACCAAGATCCCACGTCTAACCTGTTAACTGCCATACTTCTTTGAGGTCTTCGGTAGGGACCAAGTCCAGACTGAGGCTAGAGGGCCCCCGGACCGTCTGTCTGGGCAGCACCATCATTTTCCTTAGCTCGCTGTGCGCAGCTAGAGGTTGCTGCAGTGTTGGGTCTAATGCAGACCCCTTCTTCCTTCTATCAGACATACGATTTAACCCAGAATTACAAACTTTAAAGTACTCAGTTGAACATGTTCATCTTATTCGTGAGGCTCAGTTTACTCAAGGGGTCTCCAAGACATGAGAACTCTCATCTTTTTATTTCCAGTTTAAAGTTCCCCTTTATTGTGTTACAACTGGATCAACAATAGACTGTTTCTTAATTTTTCTCAGACAGAAAGCTTTTTGTGGTTTCTGTGTTGATTTCAACATCCAAAAGATATTAATTTGATATATTCATATATAGTAATATATGCAAGTGGAAGTTGCATTAAAAGGAATGTATTTTGAGTGTTCGAATGTAGTGTTATTTATAGCCAGCTTTCATTACTGAGTCATTTTGCATTTTTTAAAGCTAGGGGTTGAATCTTAAATCGAGATGATTCAGTTCTTCAGCATCTTGGTAATAATATCTCTTCTTTTTCTGATAACCAGAACCCCAGTAAGGAATGTGAACCTTATCGAAGAAATGAAGACTTACCAATTGCTCCTTGTGGAGCTATTGCCAACAGCATGTTTAATGGTATGATACAGAAACAAACACAGACACAGATGCCGCTGTGGATAATTAGGACAGTTTGCATAGTCTTCCTGCAGATTTGATAATCTAGTAATCATGAATGAAACTGAGAAAATTAACTACACTAGGTATTAGATATTGAGTGGGGGCAGAATTGAGTGGAGTTTAGAGTACTTTGTGACTGCATTTTGAGCATCCTTTATATTTAAGAATAGATTTCTGTCTCTGAGAAGAAAGAAGCAAAGATACTTTGCTAATCTTGTATTCCCTAATAAAAGATGGCTGGTATTCCCATTGGCTTTTATTACTGATACCATTAGAGAGGGACTGTCCTTAATCATTTGGAGTTTGATGAAAATATGTGGATTATAAACAGCCATGTGGTTAATTTTAATTTTCTGCTAATCACATGATAAACCCTCAAAAGAAACAAGTAAAATTAATGTTAATATTTTTGTTTATCCCCACATGGCAAGAATAGTATCATTTAGGTATATAATACTATGTGAAAGTTATTGTGGTTAATGTATATTTTTATACTAAATCCTTGACATATGTTACATACTTACAGTACATGTTTATTTTTGCTAATCACATTTCAAGGGCTCAGTAGCCATGTGGGCCTTATGTGCAGATAGAAATTAATATGCCAGGAAGTATCAAGAATGCATTTTTGAAAAGAAGAGCAAAAGGCAGATTTATCTTTGTATTGATTTGTTTAGTGTTTTTGAGACAGGGTCTTGCTATGTAGTGCAGGCTGGCATTGGGCTCACTTTCTAGCCCAGGCTGGTCTTGAACTTGTAATGATCTTCCCGCCTCAGTGTCCCAAGTGCTGGGATTACAGGAGTGTGCCACCATGCCCAGCTCATATTTATCTTTAAACTTTATTGGGGTAAATATTGAAACACTGCACCATATCACATACTAACTAGTTATATAGGAAAGTGTCTTAGATTTTTATTGAGGGAAGAGAATTCATCTAGAATTATAAAATTAATGAAGCTGATTCACATCTGAATAAACAGCAGAAGTAAATCTTGTGTTTTCTCTGTCACAACCACTTTGAGGTACAAATGCTTATCTTTACTTTTCATAGAAGAAAGCAGATGTTGATTTTTGGCAGATGTTAACTAACATTTTCCTTTTTGTGTTAGATACATTGGAATTGTTTCTGATCACCAATGACTCTGATCCTACACCCAAACCTATTCTTTTGCAAAGGAAAGGTATTGCTTGGTGGACAGATAAACATGTGAAATTCAGAAATCCTCCTGGAGAAGGAACCCTGGAAGAACGATTTAAAGGTGAAAATTACTCATATCCTATACAAAAAAAATAATAAATCAGATATTTCAATGAAGTATTTTAGTATTTCTATCTTCAGTATCTTAAAGTTTGCTTGAAATATTTTCTTACCTCAACTTTATACCAATTGAGGTGAAAGTTCTGATATATTAAAATACTAAAGGAAGTGCATACTTTTAACTGAATCCAATTTCTTTGGAGTTCTCTTGTACACATTTCAGCTATGATGTTTTGTACTTGTTGCAAAATTTGTTTTAAATAAGACTCTTATTTATAATACAAATTTTTTTTGTTTGAGTGCCACCTTAATTTAACTGAGTGATGTTTTTCTTTTTTCTTTAATTTTTTGGTGCAATATTATAGATTGAGCCCACTACATCCCCACTTTTAAAAGTATTTTTTTGCCATCTTTTTACTTCAGCCTCTCAGAGTGCTAGGATAATAGGCCTGTTCTACTACTACTGGCTTGTAAATATTTCTTAACGTTATATTTTTGCACTAACTAGTAATCTCCCTATATACTGAATATTTTTTTGTAGGCTCTTAATTGAAATGTCACCCAAGTCTTTATAAATTTTTTGTCATATAAGGAATTGATTTTCATAGATTTTACAATTCCTTAGAACATGAATATCTGTATACCTTTGAAATAAAAGTTTCAGATTGTGTGTTGCACATCTTTGTATTAGGAGTGTGACTTTCATTGAAACTCAGTAGAATTAAATATTTTGTTTATTCATCTCTCCTCTAACCTTGTTGAAGGCACAACAAAGCCAGTAAACTGGCCTAAACCAGTGTACATGCTGGATTCGGAGGATGATAACAACGGCTTCATAAATGAGGATTTGATTGTTTGGATGCGCACTGCAGCATTGCCTACTTTTCGAAAGTTGTATCGTCTGATAGAACGGACAGATGATTTGCATCCAACATTACCAGCTGGGCAGTACTATTTGAATATCACGTACAGTATCCTTTTGTGGTTGTGTATGTTGTCATTGAACTTGAAAGGAATCTACTGCTGCCTTATCTCAGTGCCACAGTTAACTGTGCTTTAGGATTTTTTGTTTGTTTCTTCTTCTTTTTTTTTTTTTCCTGTTGTTTTTTGTTTTGAGACACAGTTTCACTCTGCCCAGGCTGGCTTCAACTCGCAGCAAGCCTTCTGAGTGCAGGGATTACAGGCATGTGCCATGTGCCACCATGCTTGGTCTTTTGCTTTAGTTTTTTGTTTTTTGGGTTGTTTTTTTTTTTTTTTTGTACTGGAATTGAAATCAGGACCCTCAGGACCTTGTGCTTGCTAGGCAGGCGCTTCTGCTGAAGAGCTGTATTCCCAGCCATGTGCTTTAGTTTTGATCCCTGCATTTTAATGAATAAGTGTGTGTGTTGGGAATGTATATTCTAGGAAGGTCTCAAGTTCGTATGTATTTGTGTTAGGGTTTTAAGCACATTACTTAGTAAAATTACTTAGAATGTAGGTGACTTTGTTTATTAAGAAGCTAGAGATTTTTATAAGAGAGACTGTAATTGAGCTTAGCACAAAGGGTAGTGAATATACCTAGTACTAAATAGGTGGTGGCAGCAGGCTAAATATATTTTTAGATGTCAAAAATCAGCAGATGTGCTAGACACGGTGGTATATACAAGTAATATCAACACACAGGAGGCTGAGGCAGGAAGAGTTTGAGTTCAAGGTTAGCCTAAGCCTATGTAGTGAGTTCAAGGCCAGTGTGGATTACATAATGAGGACCTGTGCTTGTTTTGGTTATGGGCCGTGTGCCTATAATCCCAGCACTCAGGAGGCTGAGTCAGGAGGATCACTGTGAGTTTGAGGCCACCCTAGGCTAGATAACCAAGTTCAAGGCCAACCTGCACTACACAGCGAGACCTGTCTCAAAAACATTGAAGAAGAAACAAACAAAAATACCTGAGTAGATGTATTAATTCGCATCAGTATCAAAAAATTTTTGTCATCAGCTGTGTTGTTGTACATTAGCAAATCAGGTTCTCTTTTAGTACTGATGTTTATTTCATTTTTACTATATTTCAACACTGTTATAGGAACTGTCTGTGTTACTTAATTGGTGCAGTAACATGAGGTAGGTATCATCTTGGTGTTACAGAGAAAAGCCCTGGACCCTAGAATGCTTCTGTGGCTGACGTAGGTTATGCAGGTGGTAGTGAGAAGACTTGGGGTTCAAGTCAGAGTGTTGACTCCACAGGCCACGGCCTGACCCTCAGCCACCACCGTAGGCTGCACCCCTTGCTAGTTCACTCAGGGCGGCAGACCAGTCTCTACCTGCATGGGTGCACAGTGTTTTTAGAGGGGAGATGCTTTGTTCTTCTTGTTCTAAACATATCTTTTAATCACTAGTCCATTGTTTATATACTATATATTGTAAATGAAAGATTCTAATATTAGCATTTTAAATATTTGATGATCTTTGCATCTTTTATTTTTCATAATTTAATGAGCCATAAATACATAGTTTTGGTTTTATATTAGGTTAGTAAATGATTACATTCATAGGCCAGTTTCAAAAATAACAATTATTTTGGGATCCTCAATGTTATATCTGAGTGAACGTGGCCTGAGAGTGACAGAGTGAAACTGACAAGTTTTCAAGAATCACGTAGGGGCAATTTTGGATACACAGAACATTTCAGATACTGAGAAAAAGAACATCCTGAGAGGGAACCACAGTAGAGGGCAACTGTGTCCCAGCACCTAATAGCTCTAAAAGAATAAGGACAAATACCGGCCTTGCGTCTCCTTCAGAGCACAATGTGGGGAGTCCATGGCAGCGGGAGCTCTTGGTTGACAGGTCACCTGCTGGAAGTCTGCAGTGGTGTCCCAGGTACTGGAAGGAGAACTATTAGGAAGAGTGCAGGGTTTCTCAAAGACTGAAAGACAGGACTTTGGGCCTGCGAGCATCCAGAGTTGGTGATAAAATGGGGTGTAAAATAGGAACTAGACACTGGAATCACGGCAGAAACCTGTCTTTTAGGGTTGAGACAGAAAGAGAGAGAGAGAGAGAGAGAGAGAGAGAGAGAGAGAGAGAGTGTCTAGCCTGGGTGATTTGATGCTGTGTTGGGCCCTAGAGTGTTGGATTGTGCAGAGCTCTTAAAATCATTCCTGTCTCAGGTTGGAATTGACTTAGGAATTGAGCCTGCCGTTTGGAGTCATAGGGCTGCATCTGTGAGGTGCAGAGCTGCAGAAACTCTAGAAACAGATGGGGCCTAACACGATTCAAAACCGCTTTTGAAAAGGTTGTACACCTTTTAATAGGGACTTTGTTCTCTCCGCTCCTCTAACAGGTGCATGCAGAAAGTACGTCTGGTAAACTAGTGTCCCCTTTATTAAGTCTCCTATGTAGCCCCTTTTACTTTGACTCTGTCTTAGCCTTCAGCTCTGCCACATTGTAGCTTTTCTTTTCTTTTTTTTAACTTTGATTTTTTGAGACAGGGTCTCTGTAGTTTAGGCTGGCCTTGAGTTTGCAGTGATCCTGCTGCCTCAGCCTCCCAAGTGCTGGGATTACAGGTGTGCACCACCACATCTAGCAAATGTGAATTTTATCATTGCTCCAAACCACCAAGTTAAGCCTTTAGTGTGGTTCGTGCTTTTGGACCTTGTGCTCAGAGCCCTCAGTTTCTTCGCCGTGTTCATGTTACATGTGCTCTTCGAGATTGCAGATACTTCCCCTGTCTTAATTCCATTTTCTTCTGCTCTGTCAGCTCCCCATTTCCTGTGTGGGCTTCACTGAAGTGTTTTTTCACACTGCATTATACTTTTGAAGCTTTTTGCTTCTCTTATTGGATGACAGGAAAACCACCTGAGAACCTAACCCTTAAATTTTGTTGTTTTGATATAATATTTCCGTTTTACTAACTGACATTTAATTTTCTAAAGTCAGCTTTTCAAAATAATCTATTTTTTGTGATTCAGGACATTTGAGTAAGGTACAAGTGAATTGTAAGCAGTTGAATGGCAACTTTAGATTTGTATTTTAAACATCAAGTAACCAGAGATGGAAAAGTCTTCCTATACCCTCCTCAGATTACCCTGTACATTCTTTTGATGGACGAAAACGGATGATCTTGAGCACTATTTCATGGATGGGAGGAAAAAATCCATTTTTGGGGATTGCTTACATCACCGTTGGATCAATCTCTTTCCTTCTGGGAGTCGTTCTGCTAGTAATTAATCATAAATATAGAAACAGTAGTAACACTGCTGACACCATGGCATTTTGAGGTTGGCACATAAAACATTTTTTAAAAAGCAGTCTTTGTCCTTTGCTTCTTCCCTGTGAATGACTTAATATATGATGGGTATTATATAAATCTAGCTATATGATATGAATACTGAAAATGCTAAACTTGCATTTTAATGTTTGCTTCTTATTGGGACAGTGCCCATGATGCATAGAGCTTCTTTCATGTGACTTGCATCTACTGCTTAAATGTTGGTGCTGTGTTGATAATGTTATATGGGCATATGATGCTGGACATATGTACCTATTGTGTGATGAAAGGGATTATAAGATGCATGTGTTGCCAGGCATGATGGTACACAACTGTAATCCCATCTCTTGGGAGCCTGAGGCAGGAAGATCACCATGAGTTCAAGGCCAGCCTGCACTACAAAGTGAGACCTTTTCTCAAAAAAAAAAAAAAAAAAAAAAAAGATACATGAATGCAATCACTTGCTAATCTTTTAGATTCATGGTCATGGAAAGATCAAAAAAGACTTTTTTTTAGTACTGGAAATCAAAGAAAGACCAAATCTAATCAAATACGTCTCCATTTTCATGTGTCATGTGTAAAAACTTAAAGTACTGTCTTTATAGAGATGGTTCGTATATTGAGTTTGTTCTAGTTTTTGGTCAAGCTCGGCTTTGATTTCAAAGGGCCTGCTTATTGTGTATGGAAAGTAGTGCTCATGTCTGAAGAGGGCAGGTATGTCCTGGACAGGAGAATTGAAATTCCTCTTTTCACTGGCTAAAACATTGCTCAGCCCAGTTGAAATGTTTTGCTTGTGGCCATTTCCCGTGAAGCTTATGTTTTATAAGGGAAAAGAATACGGTGAGATGCAAACTCCTTGGCAGATCTTAATCCTTTGCCTCCACCGTAAAATAACTCAAAGGAGTCTGTTTTCATTTTTCGTGGTTTTTAACATCGAGAATCTTACTCAGCATTGGAAATACCTCAGGCTCTCCTTATTTGTCAGGTAAGTGTTTTGACTTAAGTACTAACGTTATATTCCAGAAATTTTGAAATTTTAATTTCCTGTGTATTTATTCAATTTTTTGCATACCGGTCAAATACAGATGTGTATACACAGTCTTAGTTAATATACCAGTTGTTTTGGTTGGTTTTTACAAGACATATTTTAAGAAGATGTTCTATAAAATTTCTACTTAAGTTCTGGAGATTTGGGAATATGTACATGATAAATTATTATGTATATGATTGAAGTTATTTACTAACTAGAATTATTATAATATTGCTTATTGAATAAATGTTGTATTTGTTTGCTATGGAATTTATTCTTGAAGTGAGTATAAACTTAATTTTTCTACATACATGAAAATGTATGTATTAACGGTGACTTGCATCTTATTTTTACTAAAATAACTTATGTTTATGTGAAAGAATCTCTGTTCAGAGTTTATAATAATTTTCTTTATATTTGAAATCAGAAGGTTGGGTAATTATCAGTTTTGATTAATACATTTTTTTAAAGAAATAAAACATAATGTAATGGTTATAATAGAAAATGTGCCATACTTATTGTTTTGTATAACATATGAAATTTAATTAAAAGACTTATAGTTGTTCTTGACTTTTAACTCTAAAAATGTAGCTTGCATGAGTTATTTAGTGTAGGGTTCTCCTAAAATGCAGAGAGTATTCTCTAGGTAGATGCTTTGTTTGGCCAGTCCTTCAGAATGCCGTTGATCTGAAAGCTGTCCTTCCTGCACTTGAGAAAGGGGGAGTTCCTCACTCTTTCCAGATGAAGAGTGCTGTTTAAGGAAGTCTGTTACCCTGAATCTTTTCTTTTTAAACTGGGGGGCCAAGGGTGTCACTAAAGGAACAGTTGGAAAGCTTGTTTAACATTTTCATATAACTGAAAAGATGGAATATTAAATATAACTGGAGTTTTATCCATCTCACAAGTGTACTGATGGGCCTGCCATTTGAAGTGTAAGGGATTCCTCTGTTAAATAAGAAAACAGGATATTGGAATAGCCCCTGTGAAACACTGAGGCATGGAGGGGAGCTTTTCTTTCTACAGGCTTTATGCTTGCATTTCAGAAACACCGATGTCTTACGCAAATTTCAAAGACTCACATCATTTCAAGGCCACAAGGTTAAGCAGAAGACTTGGAAAAATACACTAATTTGTAGGAAGTATTTGGACATGAAAAGTTTCCCTATTGAAGAAATTATTCAGTAAGTAAAAGCTAACAAATTTCATTAAAGTCATAAAGCTTGTTCATGAATAAGTGGGGAAAAATAACACACTACCTGTCAGAGAATCATTCAACCAAAGAAGAATCAAGTCAATATTATTTATTGGATAATGATGGAGTTTATTTGTAATCTTGATTAAATTAAAAGATAATATTCTGTTGGTATTAGTAAAAATGAATAAAATTAGTTTTGCTGTGTTCAGATGGCTAGATAAAAGTGCCCCAATGTTGTAACTGAGGTTTACCATTCAACTTTTTTTTTAAAGGTTTTTTTAAACCGGGAATCAAACTCACAACCTTCCCACTTGCTAGGTAGGTACTATTGTCACTAAACTAAATCCCTAGTCCTTACCATTCAGCTTACGCCAGGGTCAGCCAGTCTGGGTTTTAACTTCTTGCTTAGATTGAATAAAGTGCCATCCATTATTAAATGATTAGATTTGGATTAATCACCCTGATAGTGTAAACCACAGGATACATACATCATTGAGGGAAACCTGTTCTTACTGAGAAGTGCTCAGTTTGCTATCCACGTTATACTTAGGCTAAGTTTGATATTCGCATCAAGGGGAACATTTGGTAAACTGGCATGGATAGTGAAAGTAATGAAGGTCACACAGGAAATAAAAAATCTGACTAGTAAGAGGAGCCTGAGAGGTTAGGGTTAATGAATGCTGCGCAGCCTGCTGCCTCGTCTTCAAGGAAACAGAAGTATTGCTTGTCACTTATTTGTTGGTTACATTGTAAAGCTCTGTTCTTTGTAAACATGACAATTTTGAGGGGCTAGTGGAAGAAATGAGGAAATGCTGTTTCAAAATTTTTGGTTTGCATAAATGTCTGTGGTAGATTTTGGGTGGTCTAGAAAAGTGTTTTAAAACCCTTTGTTAGCCCCTGTATCTTTCAGTAAATAAAAGAATCACATTTCTCTTACTGTCACGTGAAATTTCAAAATAAATACGGTATATTGTTTAAAAACAAATGGCATGGTGACTTTATTTACTTGTATTTATCTATAAGATATGTCAAATATGTGTGCCCAATTTCAAAATCAGATAGCAAAATTCTAAAGACTTTGATGAAAAACATTACTGCCTGTCTGAATTTCCCTTTCTTCCCAGACTATCACTTTCACTCTGGAGTTGTTTATATTATTTGTCTGTTTGCCTCAGTGCCCATTCAACTGTTGTCCAATTTTAAGTTTTGAGCACTGTTACAGTCTTTTGGACAATGCTTCATGATGGTTTAGGTCTACACATGGATCTCACCTTCTATTATGTAGTTACATCTTAATAATAGCTTAGTTATTGTTTATGACTATAAAATGTGTAGTCTAGAGCAGACTGTACCATGATTATATCTTTGTGTATAATTTTCTTCTTCCTGGTATTAATAATTGTCTCGGTCTTAGGTAGTGTCTCTACTTAGGTAGTTTTCTGCAAACCAGTCTCAAAACTCCCAGTTCTCCATTAGGTCCACCATGGTCCATCACTAGTCTTAAAGGGTTTTTGTGCCCAAGTAACAGATAATGATGTACATGTTTTCACTAGCAAGGTCTCTTCTGCAGCTCTCACCTACTGCAAAACCTGTTATCTCCTCACCTCTGCTGTCACTCTAGAGTGTTGGATCTTTTGATTTGTTCACTCCTTTACTGTGCTCTCCTGAACTACATACAGCTGCCTTAGAAATGGGTAAATGAAAGGTAAATTTTCTGAGTTCTTCTGTGTCTAATACACCTTTTTGCTCTCTCACATTTCATTGATAGTTAGAAATAATTTTCTTTCCAAGTTTTGAAGATACTGCTCCCCTCCTTTCTAGCTTCCATTCCAGATTCTGAGAAATCTGGTCTAATCTTAGAGGCTGATTGGTGCTTGGTTCTCTTTTTCCTCTGTTTTGTGTGTGTGTGTGTGTGTGTGTGTGTGTGTGTGTGTGTGTGTGATTGTCTCTCTTTCTAGAATTCTTTAATTTGATCTTCTTACATTGTCTTCCTTATACTGAAATAATACATTTTAAAAAATATTTTAACTTCTTTCCCCTGTTTTTTGAGATGGGGTCTTATCATTCAGTTCAGAGTTCAGGCTGGCTTTGACCTCGCTGTGTAGTCCTACTGTCCTTGTACTTTGTTTTTTTGAGACAGGGTGTCCCTGTGTAGTTCAAGCTGGGCTTGCAATCACTGTGTATCCCAGGCTGCCCTGGAACTTAAGGCGATCTTCATGCCTCAGCTTCCTGAGTGCTTGACACTGCAAGCATGCATCACCACACCTGGCTTCTATTACTATTTTTAATTAATCTTTTTTTTTTTTCCTCTGTTCATATTGACACCTTTCCTTATTTTTCTGGCAAGACTTTTAATTTGATAGACCCCAAAAGAGTACCTGAAAGCTCTGGGTTGGTGAGCAGTGCTTCCCAAGTCATTTCACTAGCACAGTGCCTGCCAAATGTTTTTTACTTGCTGTGTGATACAAAGCTTAGCTAAGCGATAAATAGTTGACAGATCAGCATTCATATGTAGAACACACTGTGAAGGCAGTGCACTGGGGATGGGTGGTAGGGATCCTTCCTTTGAGTAGTAGCCTTCTCTGAGGGTTTTTACTTTCTCTGTGAAGAATCATTTGCAGAAGGAAGTTGGTGGAGAAAGGGTCTGTTTTCTTGTCCATCCTACCTCCTGATTTGTGTTTAACAAGTAAGTATTTTCCTTCATGTGTCCCTCCTTGTGTCTCTTCCACCTAGTTCTCCCACTAATTCCTTCTGATGAAAGTCCTTCTCTCTTCTGCCTGTGGGAAACAGGACTGAATGTGGGAAATGATCTGTGTGTAGAGGCAGAGGCCATAGAGATTTGAGCTTCCTGTTGAGCACAGTTTCTAGCTGTTCCTCTTCAGGCCTTTTCCTGACTGCATTCTGTGGTAACTGCATTCCACAACGTGAGCCTATGGGGTTACCTATTGGGCCTGTGGGGTCACCATACTTCTCCCTGATACCTCTCTTCAGTTTCTTTAGATTGCGTCAGCATCTTGTCCAGTTCAATCATATCGTATCTGCTTTGTCTTCAGAAACTTGCTGAAAACACTTAACAGTTGCCATCTCTTTTCTTTTTAGGTTCATGCCCTTTTTTCATAAGTTATATGGTAAACTACCTTTTTCTTCTAGTGCACATTTCTTTAACACCATAATAAAATACAGAGCCAGTACCATTACTTGCCCAAACTCCCTCACAGTCTCTTCATAGTCACCTTCTCCCTCAGAACCCAGGGCAGCTATTCATTTGTTCTTCATCCTTAGAGTCACCTTATTGCAAGTGTCACAAAAGCTCTTCTCAGTCCAATTTAAACACTCAACCCTTTCCTAAATGGTGCGCGACCCCATCCTCTATAGCAATATGGTGGGCACCTGCTCTGTGATCCCTCTCTACCTGCTGTCTGCCTTGTGGAAGAAGAGTCAGAACAAAACTGCACTGTCCCTGAAGATCGGAACAATCAGTTTTGTTTGCCATCTTTTCTCTTTGGAGGCCTCTGGAATCTCCAGTGCTCACCTTGCTTTAGTATCAGGCTGGGGAGAAAGTAGAGACTTGTTTCATTCCCTTTCTGCGTTGTTAACTTCTTTAACTTTTAGTTTTCCTTTTCTGCTTCTGGGGACCTACTCTGTTTATCTTTTCCATGTTGCTTTACAGTGTCTGGATTCTGAATCTCAGAGAAGCTGAACTACTGCCATTTACTACTCTGCCATTTTCCATTTACGACTCCGCCATTTTGAAATCATCCACACAGGTCTTACTGTTATTCTTGGAAAGAATAGGGGCTTGGAAAAGTAAAGATGGCGATAAAAGGAATTTTTCATGAAAGGAGATCTTAGAGTCAGTTTTTCAATAATGAAATCTTTGTGACTGAGACAAATTTAAGTCACTTTTAGTCTATTGTGAGACAAAGATGTTAAAAGCATTGCTAACCCTTACATTATTAGTAGTTAGGAGAGGGGGTTTTTTTTGTTTGTTTTTTGGCACAGAGTTATTAAAACATCTTTTTGTAAGAAACATCACCTTTGGGGGCTGGAGGTTTAGCTCAGTGGCATAAGCGCCTGTCTTGCAAGCAAGCAGTCGTGAGTTCGATCCCCAGTACCGATAAAAAGGAAAAAGACAGAAAAAAAAAGAAAGAAAAAAGAAACATCACCTTTGTCCAGTTGACTAATTTTAAAGGTTGTTTCAAGCCAATTAGTTTCTTTTTGGCCTATGTCTAAGTTCAGTTCTCAGAGCAGTTTGCCTCTTAGTAAGTTGTAATGCTATTTTTCATTTAATTTCCTAAAAAGAAAATGCAATGGGAATGTTCTTGTTGGTACTTGTTACTATATTAAAATTAATGGAAAGACATCGTTCTCTTTTCTCTTTGAATTATTATGATAACATGGAAATTATCCAAAATGCTTTCTAATAAACATAACAGACTAGGAATATTATCTAGGTTTTCTCAGCTCTGTCTTGCAAAGTGTCAAAATGGTACTTTAGTAAAGCTGAAAATTGTATTGTTTTCTTACCCAATTTCCAGTGACATTTTGAAAATTTAGTTTGTTAAAGAAACCACCTACCAACAGAGATGGGCTTGAAGCAAGCTATTTACTTGCTTTTATTAGAGTGTTTGCCTCTTGTGGAGTTGTTTTAATGTGCTTTTCATCTTGAACAAAGAATTGAGTGAAACAGAAACATGACCATGTTTGTTTGAAAAGTGAAGGATAAGAGACAAACTGGCACTGCAGAGTTTGGGCTGAGAGAAAAGAGAAAACAAAATAAAAGTACACCTTGGTGGGCACAGGGTGGGCTACTGTGAGAAAGACAGCATTAGTGAGCTTTTTACAGCATCTGTGTCCTTTTATCCCATTCACAGCCGTCGGGAACCCATGAGAAAACCTGCACACAGGGATCCTGAGAGGCAGTGCTGCGTAGATTCTGGGACCTTGCCATGCCTGTCTTCCAAGCAATTCTAAGCTATCTCCCTATCACTTCCCTGTGAGAGACGTGTCCTATGATTCTGTATGGGGTGCTGAGGGAGTGGAGGTGTCTATATTCCACAGCTTCTTCAAGCTGGAAGGGGCTGCAGAACCTACCTACAGGGAAGTATGTGCTCTAGAGCTATCTTGGGGGTGCTGTGGCTCACTAGGCTGAAAAAAAGAAAACACCTGTCAGAATATAATGAGAAAAGAATTAGTGACCATTGAGCTGCCTGTTTGATGGAAGAAAGAAACTTTACTCTCAACTCAAATCTGAGAAGCAGGTCAGACTTCTGCATTTCCTATAAAGGAGAATGCATGTCAGAGAGGAATGTCTTATGAATTATCAAGATTTTGAGAGACTTGGCCTTAGCAAGATCCTGTTTATCTGTAGCAGCACTGGAGTCTTGCTTTTTGAAGATAAATCTGAAGGCTTTCAGGGGCTCAGAATTAGTTATCCTTTGGGTGTCTATTCTTCAGACAGTTTGGATCAAACTGATTTTGTGTTAGTGGAACACAAAAATAAATCGCTTTGGGACTCCTCAACAAAAGGCTCAATTCTGAGCCCCACCTGTCATATAAAGCTATGTTCTTCCTAGTCACAGCAGCTTCTTTAACCTACTTTGTCTCCCCCTCCTGCTGTACGAACCACTCCACAGCTTCTGTTATCTCACTCCTAATTTGCAACACTCCCTTGCTCACTGGAGGCTTCACTTCCCATACATACCTCGCTGTACCCCATCCTCCTCCTTCCTGTATTGTTACCTGACTTCCCTGCCTAGGCCAGCTAGATATACAAAGTTGTAAACCTATTACTTTTAGGTAACTGTCTTGGTTTAATTCACTCTTTGCTACCACAAACTTTTGTATTGGTTACTTTTCTCTCCCTGCTGAGATAAAATACCTGATGCCCAAAATGAAATAAGGAAAGGTTTATTTAGCTGGCAGTTTATGGAGGTTTCAGTCCATAACCAGCTGGCTCCATGACAGTGGCACACGGCAGAGGGC